CGTCGATTGCATCATATTGGGAAATCTTTCACAAAATATCTCGTTTCATGTTCGGTAGAGTTAACGTCCATCAATATCTTAGTACATATGTTAAATTTGGCACTTTCATCATGAGAAGGTCTTCCTGCGATTATGTTTAAAAAGGAATTTTGAAAGAGTTTTGTAGCATGACTGATCGAGACGAAGTGACGAAGAACTGGACTTGTCATACCCAGAGGTCATGCGTAAGACACCACAGTCCCCGCGGGTCATGCAAGAGAACCTTAGACGGTGAATCTTGAAAAGACGATTTTTAACGGCCGCCCCAGTGCAACATATTCATGCGGGAGAACCACGTCACATATGCCATGCGAGGCTGCAATATTCACACTCTCACGGGTCATGCAGGAGCACCACGCCTCACATGTCATGCAAGGTTCCAGCACTCACGCCGAGGGGAGCCCGATGCACCCTGCGAGAGAACCACCTCCCACACGTCATGCACAGGCGTAGCACAAGATCCTCACCATGGAAGCCCGGTACACCAGTCATGCGAGGAGAACCACCTCCACGAGGGGAAGGTCAGCTCGACGGGTCATGTAGGAGAACCGAGTCGAGTCAGCTGATGGACGGGCCGGCGTCTGTGATCCGCGGGGCGAGTCGCTCAGCCAAGTGCGAGATACAAATCGTGCTCGGCTTTATCGCGACGCCATCGGGACCCCGTCAGGATCCCGTCAGGACCCCGTCAGGATCCGAGATTGTTAGGGAAGTCCTCCGTTTCGTCCCTTTTTTTTTTGGAGCCGTCTTCTTGTTATTCATCTTTTTTTATTGATATTTTCTCCCAGTTCTGTTTCCCTTCCTCTTTCTCCACATCCTGCTATTTCTTCTCTCCGCTCTTCTTCACATTCCTCCTCCTCTTCTTCTTTCACTTCTCCTTATCTTCCTCCTTCTCCTTCTCCTCCTCCTTCTCCTTCCTCTCCTTCGTCTTCTTCCACGGCAGGCGTCGAGACCCGCCCTCGCCCATCCCTTGGAATATTACAGACAAGCCAACCCACAGCAGGTATTCCGATGACGCAAACCTTGATCTCAGCCCAACGAAAGAAATGAAAAAAGAATATATGAAAAAATAAATGAGATTTCTCTCGCTTATGTAATGGAGAGGGAGAGGTTTCATAAGTGCCTTTTTTTATGATAGTACGTTTTAAAAGTCGTTCGTTGTAACGAGCATGGCGAGAGTGTGATGCTACGACCGGTGTTCACACGTGAGACCATGGCTGTACATATAGTTAACTCGACACGTCTGGCGTGCGAGCCTCCACGCGTCCGTTCGTTTGTTTTATCCCGCTGTGTTGCATTTTTTATTGATTTCCGCCGTATAGCATAATCTCCCCTGCGAGACGCGCTTTCCCATTTTCTGTAGTTGCGTATCCGTTTTCTGTGAAAGTCAGGGTAAACTGATGCAAATCGAGTGTAAACCGTTTGTTTTAGTGTTGTCCAATGGCTCTCTTTACCTATGCTATTAACGGGTGGAACGTGAGGTAAGAGTTGAGAGTTGACGGTTTAAGATGTATGGAGGCTTGACCTGGGAGGAGGCGAGCAGCGTGAAGTGGGCTCACACAGCGGGAGAGCCGAAGCCACAACACCTGAGCACACAGCGATATTCCACATGTTAGTGTTCGCTCACACTGTTTCGTTTTCGGAGTACCAGTTGACTCACTCGTGTGTGTTTTTGGTGTTGTTTTATTGTACCTATGTGTGCGTTTGTGTCTGTCTATCTGTCTTTATGTGTGAATTCCTATTATGAATACTTTTAAAAAATGGAAATAGGAAATGATTTTAAGAGATGAAAATTCCTGCAAATGTAACTATCGTTCATGTAAGTCATTATTCCTCTTGCTCTTCGCCAACTATATCAATGTTGTTGTTTTCGTAACTGAAACTGCAGGTTAACCAATTTGATATTACGATCTTTTCTAATGTGTACAATGTAAACACCAAATAATGATGATTTAAACATTCATAAATCCGGATTATCATTCTGGAAAACATACCAAGCGGTGAGTTGCAGTATGTTATTATCGCAGGCAATCAGAAGGGGGTATGTGCTTCACGGGGAGAGTATGTTCCGCATATCATCGCATATTAAGAATATATTCCACCGGCAAATGAACCACATACTAAGATATGGGATCAAAGGAAATCTCAGAAGTCCGACATTACGATTTATTAAATGTTTTCTCTATTTAAACCTTCACCTATGACATAAGCATCGATATATGCACTTTAATGCACTCTATTTCATGACTTTAGCGCCTTAAAGTAAATATACCGATTCTCACGTAGATGAAAGCTTGAATTAACGATTTTTTTTTGGATGCGCATACTACTTATATATCGAATGAAAGGATATGCTCTGCTGGCGAATGTGTTATTGTATGTGGAATGCAGAGTATGCTTAACCAGCGAGGATATGTTCATATACTGAATAAGGAGGATGCTCATTGGGCGAGTATATCGTCAT